GCCAAAGCAAGGCCAGGGGCTGACTGTGGAAAAGACCTCAACTGTTTCCATGCAAGTTCAAGCTGAAGCTGAAGAAAGCTAAAACAAAGCCACAAGAGCTAAAATATGACCTTGAACACATCACACCTGGATTTTATAGACCAAATCAAGAACAGATTTGATGCATTTGACGCTTAGGACCGAAACCCAGAAGAACTATAGAAAGACATCATGAACATCATAAAGAAAGAAAGCAAAAGGTCATTCATTTAAAAAGAAAAAAGAAAGGCCAATATGGACGTCAGAAGAGACTGAAACTTGCTCTCCAGCGCAAAGATGCTAAAGCAAATACAATAAATAAAGAAGCCAAAGAGCTAAACAGAAAACTTCAAAGTGCAACTTGAGAAGACAAAGTCAAGTATTATAATAAATGTGCAAAGACCTGACCTTAGAAAATCAAAAGGGAAGAACATGCTCAGGATATCTCAAGCTGAAAGAACTGAAGGGAAAATTCAAGACTTGAGTTGCAATACTGAATGATTCCATGAGGAAAATATTGAATGATGCAGGAAACATCAAAAGAATGTGGAAGGAATACAGAGACATTCCAACGAAAAGAAATGATCAATATTCAACATTTCAAGAGGTAGCATTTGATTAAGAGCCAATAGTACTGAAGGAAGAAGTCCAAGCTACCCTGGTGAAAAACAAGACTCGAGAAACTGATGGAATATGGATTGAAAGTTTTTAACAAACTGAAACAGCACTGGAGGCGCTCATGCATTTTTACCAAGAAATTTGGAAGATAGTTTTCTGGCCAATGATTGGACGAGATCCATACTTGTGACCTTTCCAAAGAGAGGGGACCCAATGGAATGTGGAAATCCTCCGACAATATCATTACTATCACATGCAAGTAAAATTTTGCTGACGATAATTCAAAAATGACTGTAACAGTCCATCGGCAGGGGACTGCCAGACACTCAAGACAGAGTCAGAAGAGGACATGGAACTAAAGACATCATTGCTGACATCAGGTGGCTGAAAACAGAGAATACCAGAAGATGTTTACTTGTACTTTATTGACTATGCAAAGGCTTTTGACTGTGGCTCCTGACAAGCCATGGACCACACTGTAGAGGATGGATGTACCAGAACACTTGATTGTACTCATGAGGAATCTGTACTTAGACCAGGAGGCAGTTGTTTGATCAGAACAAGGGATACTGAGTTGAAAATCAGGCAAGGTGTGTGCCAGGGTTGTATCCTTTTACCATACTTCTTCAATCTGTATACTGAGTAAATTATCCAAGAAGCTGGATTATATGAATAAGATCATGGCATCAGGATTGGAGGAAGACTCATTAACAACCTGTAGTATGCAGCTGATACAACCTTGCTTGCTGAAAGTCAAAGAGGGCTTATATACTGATGAAGATCCAAAATTACAGTCTTCAGTATGGATTGCACCTCGATGTACAGAAAACAAAATCCTTACCACTGGACCACTAAATAACATCATGAGAAATGAAGTTGTCAAAGACTTCATTTTGCTTGGATCCACAATCAACACTCATGGAAGCAGCAGTCGAGAAATCCAATGATGTATTGCATTAGACAAGTATGCCACACAAGACCTTTAAAGTGTTCCATAGCAAAGCTATCAGTTTGAGAACTAAGGTGCCCCTGGCCCACATTATGGCATTTTCAATCACCTCATATGCATGTAAAAGTTGGACAATAAATAAGGAAGACCAGAGAGGAATTGATGCATTTGAGTTATGGTGTTGGAGAAGAATATTAAAAGTACCATGGACTGCCAGAAGAACAAACAAATCTATGTTGGAGTAAGTATAGCCAGATTGTTCCTTACAAGCCAGGATTGTGAGACTTCGTCTCTCATACTTTGCACAGATTGTCAGGAGGGACCTATCCGTGGAGGACATTATGCTGGTAAAGTTGAGGGCCAACAAAAAAAGAAAAAGGAAGGCCCCCAATGAAATAGATACGCACAGTGGTAACAGCAGTGATCTCAAGCGTAGCAAATACTGTGAGGATGGTTCCGGAGCAGGCAGTGTTTCATTCTACTGCACACACGGTCACTGACTTGGAAGCAACTTGACGGCATGTAACAATGAGGAATCCAATAAGCACTCTAGTTTACTTGGTAGTATTGCATCCACATAAATTTTCTGGTATTGATAATTTGTGGTTATGTAGAATATTATCATTGAAGGAAGCTGGAAAAAGGGCTCATGGGAACCCTCAACGTCGTATTCTATGTCAATCTAAAATTATTTCAAAATGAAACGTTAAAACACACTTAGAAAACAACTTATCTTTGAAACAACTTTGGAAACCTCACGGAACAGTTCCCACCATACGGTCACTATGTGTCAGAATCAACTCCAGCAATGCGTTCAGTTTTCCGGTTTTGCTGGCTTTAGAAGAGACCTCCAGACCCAAGATTCTGGCTAAGCCCCTTCCTCCTCCCCTTAAAAACACATTTATAATATGTAAATTTAGTTAGGCCCTCTTAAAAACAGGCGTCCTGGTGTGGCGCTGTGGGTTCATGCTCCAGACTGCAAAGCTGTTTGAACTGCAAGGTCAGCGGTTCAAGCTCACCAGCTGCTCCTCAGAAACCCTATATAGGGTCGCTGTGGGTCAGAATTGACTCAATGGCACTTAACAACTCCAAAACAGGAGTCCTGGTATGGCGCTGTAGATTAATGCACTGAACTTCAAAGTCGATTTGATCTGCAAGATTGGTGGTTCAAGCTCACCAACTGCTATTCAGAAACCCTATACACGGTTGCTATGGGTCAGAACCGACTCTACGGCACTTAACAACAACTCAAAAATAAGAGTATTTTACTAAGGGTAAATCATACCTTATTTTGCTTTAATATTTAAATGAAGTGAGACTCTGGTCTGCCTTTCCATTCAATGACCAGATCATCTGGAGCCATCAGGGGTGGGAAACTATGCTTCCTCTTGGACCTGTTTGCATGTACCTGCCACAGTGTGACCACATAATTCAAAAGGTCCCTCACCCTAACATGCATTTTCCACCAAACAAAAACTAAAAGCCATGATGATGTTGTTGGCAACCGACTCCTAGTGACCTAGTACAGGGACCCTGTACAGGGTTTCCGAGGAGCAGCTGGTGATTTGGAACTGCCGGCCTTTACAGCCCAAACGACTTTGCAGTTTACTGCATTACCCGCCACACCAGAAGCCACGGCCCGCATGTATTACAGAGTAGAACTGTCTCATAGATGCTCTTGGCTGCAATCGTTATGGAAGCAGATCCCTACACCTTTCTTCTGTGGTCCCACTGGGTGGTTTCGAACCTTCATCCTTAGATTAGCAGAGAGCACAAACTCTTTGCAGAGCTCAACCTGCAGCTGGCAGGCGTTAATGCAAAGTTAAAAAAACACGAAGCTGGATGTGTTGTAAAGGTCACTAGCTACAGAGTCATAAGAGATTTAAAAGGTCACACCAGTCCCCATTAAGACTTTCAGATAAGGAAGCTGAGGCTCAAAGACCAAGTTTCTTACCTGAGGTGGAACTGACTAGCTCCAGAAACTGCTCTTCAAACACCACCATAATCAAGGGCTGCCCCTTTCCTTCCACAGACGAGGAGACAGCGCAGAGGTTACACTAGTCCAAGTGGCAAAGTCTAGGGATGGACAGGACCCTGAACACCCTGGGTTCTTTCTCCGTGTGCTAAGAAGCTGTGGTTTGCTGTTCATTCTCTCTTCCCTACCATCAATGAGGAGTTAGGAGCTACTCTCCCCACCCAACACCATTTCCCACCTTTGCAGAATTCTCAAGGGCATGAATAAGCACTAGTCTACGAACCATAAAGTCCGTCGTTTGAGCCTGCCAGCCACTCCATAGGTTAAAGATGAGGCTTTCAGCTCCCGCAAAGATTTAACACTTCAGAAACTCTATATAGGTTCACATAGAATTGGAACGCACTCAATGGTGCTAGCAAGAAGGAAATCCCAGGGAATCTGATGACGCTGGTCTCTAGACTCGACATCACACATAAGCTACACTCACACACATCCAGGCCCCTCTAGTGGGCCAGGCAACACACATCCCAGTTAGCACGTCAAGCATTGGACTACTAACCTCAAGATCAGCGGTTCAAATCCATCAGCCGCTCCTTGGAAACTCTACAGAGTTTGTATGAGTCAGAACCAAATCGATGGCACTTAACAACAATGGAGTCCTGATGTGACACTATATATAAGATAAGCACTGGACTGCTAACTACAAGGTCAGAGGTTCAAACCCACTAGCTGCTCCTTGGAAACTCTATATAGTATTGCTATGAGTCAGAACCAACTCAACTGCACTTAACAACAACAACAACAACAACACTGGAGTCCTGATGTGGCACTAAAAGGATAAGAATTGAACTGCTAACTGCAAGGTCGATGGTTCAAACCTACCAGCCATTTCTTAAAAACCCTATACAAGGTGGCTGTAAGTTGGAGGCAACTTGATAGCACTTAATAACATTAACACTCTAATCCAGGGGTCGTAGATTGCTGGCCACAGGTCTGCAGTTCGAACCCACCAGCCACTTCAAGGAGAAAGATGAGGCCATCTGCTTCCCATAAAAACGACAGCCTTAGAAACCTTAGGGAACAGTTCCACTCTGCCCAAGAGGATCAGTATGAATGGAAATCCACTCAACAGAAGAGAGGTTTCACTCTAGCCCAGGAGTCCCAGAATGGGGCAAACGGTCAAACCTTCAGCTAATAACTAAAAAGGTTGACAGCTGGAACCCATCCCAGAGGCGTACCAGAAGAAAGCCTTGACCGTCCACTTCTGAAAGATCACAGCAATTTAAAAAAACCTACAGAGTAGAGCTCTGAGTCCATGAGTCCAAATCAACACGACAGCAACTGGTTTTGTTTTTGTTTTTGTTTTTTTCTAGCTCTAGCCCACAAAATCCTCCCAGCTCCTCAGGAGAACAGGCACCCAAGAGACAACAGAATCTAAAAAACAAAGTACAAACTTTATTTTGTTTCTTTACAAAGGCACAGTGGCCTCTTCATTTTTTTTCCCCCCACTTTCTTAACAAAATATAATAGCTTCTCCTTAAACACAAAGACCTCAAAATTGTAAAAAATAACAAAACAAAAAAAGAAGAGAAAAAAAAAAACAACAACAACAAACAAAACAGAAAGAGACAAAGACATTTTTGGGGTCAAAGATGGGAAACCTGTAAGGAAAGGAGGGGGGCTGGATGGTGGCAGAGAATGGCTAACCCTAGTGCTGAGAGAGGGTGGGGGATAGGGGAGGAGGGCAGCAGCAAACCCCAAAACCGAGAAGCAACGGTGACCCCCAGACCCCCAGAAAGCCCGGACCCAGCCAGACCCCCAACCCATGTAAGTGCTTAAAGAAAAAAGAAGAAAACCAAAGAGAGGCAGGAAGAGGGAAATGAAAAACTGACGGTCACAGGATTGACTAGGGAGGGAAGAGCGAGCTGGGGTTTTATTTCATTTTCCCTGTTCTTAAAAAAACATGTTTAAATGAAAAATGTTTTTTTGGCAGAGAGAGAGAGGCCAGGCACCTTCTGTGTGCATGTCCCCCACCTCTGGGGCCCAGCCCCAGTACCCCAATGATCCCCACACACCCCAGGCCGTCCAAGCCCCTATTGACCTTGGGTCGGGTGGCTCCGTTCAAAGGCCGATTTACAGTATTGAAAAAGAGGTCATAAAAGAGACCCAAATGACATTGTAATTTTGTAAAAATTTCTCACTCATTCGCCTACATTTCTCCCTGCTGCTGCCCCGGGCCCCTCCAGCCCCCCAGAAGGGAGAGGAGGGCTGGGGGTGGTCAGGGAAGCTCCCCGTCCCCCGATGGCTCCTCCCGGCTCTGGTCCATGGTGTCACTGTCTGAAGCCTCCGAGTCGGAGGCTGTGTCCGAGGTGTGGGCCTCCGGGCCACTGCGGACCGACTTCACGATGACCGCCCGCCGCTCTTCCTCCTGCCGCTCCTGGGTACCCTCGATGTGCTGGATTGCCTTTGTGGTGGGGGACAGAATGCTGATGAGACCCACACCTCCATCCCCCAGACACCCCACAAATGTCCGCCAATAAGTCTGGCGGGGGAGGCAGCAGCCAAAGAGGCCGGCCAGGGGCCAGGGAAACAGACTTTTGTTGAAAACCCGTTGGGGGAAGACAACAGCTTCAGTTTGCTTTGAAGTGGTGTGTCGTTTTAAAGTATTTATGCCCGTTAGCTTAGTACTAACTCTTTGTTACTAATTTCGTTATTCAATTTACCGAGTTTATATGCAACTGAGTTCTAGGGGTTGAAAGATTTTTTGTGTGTGTTTTTTTTTTCTGTTTGGGCTTCTTTGGTTCATGAGTGAATGAATTTACTTGAGGTTCTTGGGTCCACAACCCGAGAGCCAGACCCTCACTCTGTAAACCACACTCTGAGAGCAAAGGGTCTTCTTGGCTAGAGTCATGGGGGCTGGATGAACCTTCGAAACTATTCCCCTGAGATCATCTTTAAACCTTAAATCAAAAATATCCCGACTTCTTAAAACCAAATAGCATTTTAGCTTAACTAGTAAAACAAAGGTCTGCCTTCAACATTATGATCTTTCAAGCTCAATCTACATGGGATCAAACTGACAACTAATTTCGTTATTCAACTAGCAATTTAACGATTAGATAGGAACTTGAGGGGGAGCAATGAGTTTATAATAACAGGGAGGAACAACTCGGAAACAGAGAAAAGCTGTGCAGCCCAAGTTCATCTGCCAAGTCACTGGATTTTCATGCAGAAACTGTGAAAATGGTGTCTGCATTGTAGTATATGGACAAGTTTTATTATCTTTTTATCCCCTTTTGCCAGGAACTTTTTGAAGCCCTCTCATCTATTCTCGAAAACAACAAAATAAATACATTTTTTTTAAAGGTAATAAACATATCTGGCACCCAAAAGGTGGGGGTGGGGGGTCCTTCAGTCCCATGTAGGTGAAGGAACAAGGTCTTCAAGGCCACCCCATCCCATACGCCTGGGGGACTCAGCGCCCCCGCTCTCTAAATGGAGTGGCCACCACCCAGCTCACAAGGACAGAGATGGAGATGAGCATCTCCCCGGGTTCCCACCCTACCCCAGAACACCCCCCAGGACTCCCCCATGCGCTGTCCCTCCTCCAGCCCAGATACCTGCACAATGGTGTCCAGGTTTTGCCGGGATGTGGAGACAGAGTTGATGACTGACGAAGGACCCATGGTGACGACATTGATGTGGTGGGAGGGCGGGGGTGGTGGTGCCGGCACAATCACTGTGGGGTGGTGGGTGGGGGCCGGAGGGGGCAGGAGCTGCAATACAGAGGCCTTCAGTTTCTCTCCCAGGGGTCCCTCTGAATCCCACCCTCCTGCCTGTCCCCAACAACAGCTTTCTGAAACCATCTCCCCCTGCTCACTGCATCCCTGCAGCCTCCACCATTCATGGAGGGCCAGCCAACTTGCCATCCCAACCCCTCTGATTTTTAAAGGAGACCTAAAGAGGGGCTCTCAGCCCTCCAAGATCACGTGGCTCCTTCTCTTTGGAGCATCAAGCAAGTGGTTGGGCATTTGATACAATGCTGGTTGGGGGTTTAGACTCCTAACAGCCAACGTTCAAATCCCTACTCCAAACCCACTTACTAGTTAAAGGCTCTCAGGCCTGTTATTTACTTGTGCCTCAATTTCCTCATCTGTGAAGCAGGAATAAATAATACGAGGGGGCTTCAAAAAGCCGGTGGAAAATGGAATTAAAAGATATTGGGGGGGAAAAAAAGATATTGGAGTTTTTCCACCAACATTTTGAAGTTCCCTTGTATCTCAGGCCTGCAAGGGCTGCTAGGAACATTCAGCGTGGTCGTGTACATAAAATAGCGAGAACCTTTTATATATTTAATATTCTAGACATGAGAAAACAGCTCAAGTCTAGAATATTAAAATGTAAGCCTTGTGTCAGCCCAGCTGGACATTTAGAGACACAATGCTGAGTCTGAGGACCCTGGAGGCTGGCAGAATCCAGTGCTGTCTACAGCCCCCAGGGCCCCTCCCAGGGGCTGGGCCCCCTCACCTGAGTCCGAAGGTGCTGTTGTTCCCGCTCCAGTTTCTCCTGGTGTAATAGCCGCACCTGTTCCTGTTGTTGCTGGAGCTGCACCTGCTGTGCAATCACCTTGAGCTTCTCTGGGTACATGTGGGCCTCTAGCGAGCGCACCTGAGGACAGAACAGCTGGCTCACAGCTGGGCGGGGACCCAACTCCAATGCCAAGGCCCAGCCTCAGACAGCCCACAGAACCACACCAGGTGTCTTCCTTCCCACCTCTAGGCTTTGCCCATGCTGCTCCCTCTGCCTGGAACTTCCTGCCAGCCCCCCCCCAATCTCAGTTCAAGGCCCACCCACTGGAGGCCTTGTTGAGCCTGCTTCCAGAACCAGTCAAATCCTCCTACAGATGCCCACAGGCACTTCAATTACAGCTGTTCTGTTATGCTGCTGGGTGAGCGTTGAGGATCTCTGATGGCGTTTAAGTATCAGGCTGCTAATCAAAAAGACAGCAATTTGAAGTCACCAGCTACTCCATGGGAGAAAGATGTGGCAGTCTGCTTCCGTAAAAATGACAGCTTTAGAAACCCTAGGGGCAGCTCTACTCAACCTGATGGCAGTGGGTTTGATTGTTTTGTTATTTTGTGGGGGGGACAGGTAACACCTGTGAAAAATGTGCTCCCACGCCTCCTCCCACAAGGTTGTGAATCCTCAGAGGTTGGAGTCATGTCTGGTGTTCCCTCCACTGGATACTGTATTTCTAGGTCTGGCACAAAGTTGGTGTTGTTGGGTATTCCTGAGTTGATTCTGGCTCATAGCGACCCTACATGACAGACCCCATCAGGTGTCCTAGGCTGTCATCGTTACAAGAGGAAAGCCCAGACAGAACTGTGGTTAAGTGCTCAGTTGCTAACCAAGAGGTCAGCAGTTCAAACCCAAAGGGGAAAGCCGTGATAGCCTGCTGCCATAAAAATTTTAACCCTCGGAAACGCTAAGGAATAGCGGCACTGTCCCAGAGTCACTAGGAGGTGGAATCCTGTCGACAACAAGTAAGTTTGTTTTTTGGTAACCTTTATGGAAGTAGGTTGCTAGAACATTTTCTTGCAGAACTGATGGGTGGGTTCGAATTGTCAGTTTATCAGTTTTCAGTCTAGTGCTTACCAAAGTGTGCCACTGGGGCTCTTTGCATTAAGCAGATGCTCCTGTAAATAACTCTCTAAGCCTAAGAGAGTCGGCGAAACAACTGGTAAGGCAGAACAGCAGCAGCCAGGCTGACTGAAATCCCAGGCTCACTGCACACCAATATTCACGACCAGCAGGGGGCGCCTCCATACCTGCTCCTCCAGCATCATGCGCACAGAGCGCTCCTTGTCCAGCTGCTGCCTCAGCTCAATCATCTCCCGCCGCAGGTCCTCAGCCTTCTCATCCTCCCAGATGTCCGGAGAGCCAATGCCTTCGTCTTTGTCCTCTGCGCGCCGCCGCTTGGGGGATGAACCGCTCAACTCCTGCAGACCCCAAGGGGCTAGTCAGTGTGACTTGTTTGACACTCCCCGTCCCTCCGCACTACTATTAGGGAGGTCACAGCCCCCAAAGCTATCTAACCATAGGTGGACCCAGCACAAAGGAGGCCTATTGTGAAAACTCAAGAGGCCAACTGCCAGAAAAGGAGACCCCTGACTTGCTTCCCACACAGTCACTGGGTTGAATAGACCAGTAAACCAAGTGTCCTAGAATCAATTCTACTTCATGGCAACCCTGCATGTGTCAGAGTAGAAAACAGGGTTTTCTGATCTATGGGAAATAGGTTGCCAGGCCTTTCTTCTGGGACACCTGCGTGAACTTGAACTGACAACCTTTCTATTAGCAGCCAAGTGCACCACCAGACTCTCAATACCTGCACTAACAACCTAATTTAAAGGGAAACCATTTAGAAAGTTGACCTATAAGACATTCGGTTCCACACCACCTCAAAAAAGCGAGCATCATAGTGAGGTGATTCACATGAATTTTTTGGATGCCCAGAGCATAGAAAAGTTGTGGTTACACTAGGCACCACAGGGTGAACTCGAACTGCCAACCTTTCGGTTAGTGGCCAGATGCATTCACCAATCACACCGCCCAGGATCTCCACTGGGTTGAATAGTGTCTCTCGAAAATTCATCTCCATCTGAAACCTCAAAATGCGAACTGATTTGGAAACAGATGTCCCTGCAGACGTAATTAGTTAGATGAGTTCATACTAGAGGGGCATGAGCCCTAACCCGATGATTACAATTCTTACAAGAAGGAAGACACAGGAACAGAGGCAGGAAGGTCACGTGAAGAAAGAGACAACGACTACAAGTCAATGGAGGCTGGGGCCACAAGAAGCTAAAGGGCTTCTTCCCCAGAGCCGTGGTTTCAGACTTCTAACCTTCCAAACTGAGAGAACCCACTTCTATTGGTTGAACTCTACCCTACCACCCCGTTTGTTAGTTCTCTCTGGCAGCTGCAGGGGACTCAGATGCCCAGTTCCTTCCAGAACTAGCTCCACCACACTTGGCAGGCTGGTAGACGAAGGTGCAGGTGGGAAGGCAAGGGCTGGAAGTAGCGGGGTCAATCAGTGGTGAAAGGTGGGACCTGCAGGAATATGAGCCCCGGCCGGGCGGTACCTGGATGAAGCGCTTGAGCTGCGTGTTCTGCTGCAGGAGCCTCGTCTTCTCTTGCTCCAGAGAAAAGATGTATTCGGCAGTCTGCTGGAGAATGGCCGCCTAGGGGTGGGAGGGCCGAGTGTCAGAGGCCAGGCAGGTGGCTTCTACAGCCGTTGTCTCCAGGAAGCTCTCAGGACCCTCCCCACCTCACCTACCTTGCTGAGCTTCTCTCCGTCTGTGTGGGGAATGAGGGTCTTGAGGGACTGGAAGCCAGCGTTGATGCTCTGCATGCGCCGCCGCTCGTTGCTGTTGGCGATCTCCCGCCGGATCCGCCGCTCCTGGTCCCGCTGGGTCTCGGGGGTCAGTGGAATGTTGGCCAGGCTGCGGGAGGGGCAGGGACCCACTGAGGTCAGGTGCCCTCTGGACCCGCCCCCAGCAGGCCCCTGTCTCTTTAAGTCATCCCCAAGGGTCACCTGCATCCACTTCCGGTGCAGAAGACACCAGCATCCGGTGGGCCTGATGCCTACACACCCACCAAGGCGAAATAAATCAGAGCCCAGGCCATCTCTGCTGTAAACAGTGAGAGGGTCGTTCTTTTCCAAGAATCATAAACCAGTCCCAGCCCGGGCATCTAGGTGATTACGCTAGAAAACCCCATGGTTAACAGAAGCTCAGATTCTGAAACAGGTGGATCCCAGGTAACAATCAAAACACGTGGTGCCACAACTATCAATACTGAATATTTTCATCAAAGAACCTATAGAATAATCTTGATTTTAAAAAAGGCGGGGATGGGATGCAGAGCAAAATCTCAAATTCCCATAGAATCCAGATTTTCTGAATCCATGGATGCTGGAAGAACCCCCAAAACTATTGCTCTGAGATCATCTTTAAAGCTTAAACCTAAAACATCGCTTAAAATTTTCTTTAAATCAAACAATTGTTGTTATTAAGTGCCATCGCGTCAGTTCCAGCCCATAGAGAGACGCTGTGTACACAGAACAATAGTTTAGCTTTTTAATTTAGTAAAGACTGTTTACCTTGAGCACTGGGCTGTTTAGTTTTTGTTCTGTTTTTTAAACCATATGGGATCAAATAGACAACAGCAGTTCAAATGATTAGATAGGAAACTTAGAGGGCACTGAATTATTAATGGAAAAGCAGGGTGAGAATGATTGAACAAATGGGAGAATGTAATCAATGCTTCTGAATTTTAAGTGTAGAAATTGTTGAATTGGTATGTGTTTTACAAAGTGTGTTCTCAACAACAAGACACCTAGGACACCTCTGAGCGCCTTGCCCTGCACCTGGACCACCTCCTTAGACAAGGCTCAGACACTGCGCCTCCTTCGTTCCCATCCTCATGTCTGAGTCTCCAGCTACAAGTCCTTAACCAAGCTCCCAACCAGCCCCAGCCATCCTAAACTACAAGCCAAAAAGGACATGAAGCACTTATTCACTAAAGGGCCACAGTTCTCCCTTCCCTTGCCTGAGCCCACGGACTCCAAGGGGCCGACCCTCCCTGTGCCCCAGAAATGGTGCTCCCAGCATGCTGTGGGCAATTACAGGCCGCTGGAGCTACAGCCAGCAGGGTGAGAGAGAAGGCAGCCAGGGGAAGGGGTGAGGTTGCTGGCCAGCCTAGAGGAGTCTGCAGGCCCAACGCCACTGCTCCCGAGGGGCGGGCCTGTGTGTGGCCTGGTGGAGGCATGCCCCCTTCCAGTCCTCCTGCCGCCCCCCCCTCCTGGGCCTGATGGCTTCCAGATGCTGGGCTCCCAGCAGAGGCCACTGGCCCCACCCAAAGCCACAGCCCAGGCCTCTTCCTGAGGGGCCCTCCCCGGGTGACCTGTTCTACACCCCCAGGCCTGGGGGTGGGGATGCAGAAAGACTCAGGAGTCTTGGTTCCCCTGGAGGTCTGGGGGCAAGGATGTGCCTGGTCCAACACCCTAGTCATGCCCATGTCTCTGTGTCCATCTACAAACAGAAAGGCATTTGCCCTGAACCCAGGAGAGAAACACATCTGCAGCAGCTGGACATGGCCAAGGCCCTCCTGCCCCATCCGCCCCACCTCCCCGTGGGACCCTGGACTCATCTCTGCCACTTCCTGGACCACAGCCTTCTCCGCCAACACACAAGAGGAGACAAGTCAACCTCCTTCCCCAACCCAGAAGCCAACACTGGGTCTCGGAGTGTCAGAGCTGGGAAGGAGGTCGAGTAGCCTCACTTGCCAGAGGTGGAAAGGGCCAAGATTAGGGTCAGACAGTGAGTGTCTGGCTCCCCGACTTCTGGGCTGGGGGGGTCTTAAGTCTTCCAGTTTCCCTGTCCTACAATGGAGGTGACAGGGGAAGGATGAAAGGACAGTGGGTCAAAGCTGGGGGCTTGGCGGGAGGGGGTCAAGTGGAGGTGGGAGATGTCCATAAGAAGCTAAGTCCCCCTCCCTAGAGTGGGGGTTTGATATGTGTCTGAGAGAATGGTCTCTCCACTGGGCTCACTCAGCCCCTGGGTCCCTCCTGGTATCCAGTGGTCACAACGGAACAGAGCCGGTCAAACAGAAGCCCCAGCATGTCCACCCTTGGGCTACCCTGAATGCTGAACCTTCCAGAAGGCCCACCTGGAGGGTCTAGCAACCGGGTGATAAGTGAAGAATCCTTGAGCTCATCTTTGTTCTGGGGACTTACTTTAATAGAATGGTCTCAGTTTATCATCATAGGACCCTTTGAGTCAAGTAGCCTCATTCTTATCTGAGGTTTGGGAAAGGCAAGTGGTGGAACTGGGACTTGAACCCTGGCCCCAGAGCCCCACGCTGACCTAGATGGGTGGGCCGTACACCATCTCACAGAGTTGGTCACCCAAGAGACAGGTAGGTAACATGTTCTTCCCCTAGTGGGGATGTCTTGGGGTAAGGAGATGCCTGGCCCAACTCCCTGGCCATCCCCAACCACAGACAAAAGGGTGTTTGCATTGAACCCAGAGCAAACTGAGACACATCTATTATTGTCGAGTGTTTTGATCAAAGAACTGATAGCAGAATCTTGATCAAAAGGGGATAAAATGGAGAACTGAATTTAAAATTCGGAAAACCCTGAGCTTCTGAGAGAAACACATCTGCAACAGCTGGTCAGAGGTAACAATGATGTCTTAGGAGACAAGACTGGGTATGGCGTAGGTGCTATACGTGTTAGTTCTTAATATTATTCTTAATATTTTTCCTTTTTCCCTAACACACATCTACATCATCTTCATGTTGCAGATGAGGAACCCAGGGACCTGGGGTGGGGCTAGGGCAACATGCCTAAAGCAAGGCAACTAGATCCTATGATACTGCCAAAACTCACCCTCTTCCCATGTCCTACCAGCTAACAGAACCCTCCCACAGTGGTCATCAAGTCAGCCTCCAACTAACTCATGGTGGTCCCATGGCAAACACAGCCCAGTTGAAGATTGGATCACTAAAATCCATAGGGGTTTTTTCTTTTTGTTGTTTGTTTGCTTGTTTTTGTTGATCCATAGGGTTTTCATTGGCTGACTTTTCTAAGTAGATCACCAGGGCTTTCTATCTAGTCTCTCTTAGTCTGGAAGCTCCACTGTTCGGTGTCCTAGCAACAGTCACTGAGAGACAGGTGGTGTATGCACATAAAGTGCACTGGTCGGAAGTTACCATCTGGATGCAAGGTGAGCATTCTCCCACTGAGCCAACATCGCCCTCCACTCAACTTTTTCCAAGGAGGTAATTTTTATGGAAGTAGACACTGGTCAGTTCAAACTGCCTACCTTTGGATTAAGGAGCTCTGGAAGCATAGTGGTTATGAATTGGGCTGTGAACCGCAAGGTCAGCAGTTGGAAACTACCAGCTGCTGCACGCGGAGAAAGATGAGGCTTTCTGCTCCCATAAAGATTTACAGCCTTGGAAACCCTATGCAGGGTCACTATGAGTGAGAACCAACTCCACAGCACATCACCACCACCAGCACGTTTGGGTTAGCAGCTAAGCACTTAACTGAGCTACCAGAGAAGTGCAGCTACAACGCACCCCTCCTATGCTGCCTCGTCCTCACTATCTGCCTACCAGCCCATGTCCCACCTACACCTAACCCAAACCAGCGCTCAGGGAACCCTCCCCTCCCTAACAAGCCAATTTCATCACCCATGATACATCAGCCCTGGAGGTGACTCCGCCTCCCTCCTCCCGATACAGGGCGCTCCTTAACTGGGGGTACCCAAGAGGATACAGACCCCAGGTCTGAAAGGCTCAGCCCGAGTTTCCAGAAGTAAGGTCAGGGGACCAGGCAGGGAGGAGGAGTCTGTTTGCTCCTCCGCGGAATCAGAAGCCCCAACTTTCCTTCTTCAGTGTTCCATCCTGCCCTCTCTTTCTCCAAGTCCATCAGCCCAGCCTCCTGGTCCCCCAAGGAATAAGTTGCTGTTATCCTACTGCAGATCTAAATCCAAGAAAACAGACTGCATCTCCAAAATACAATTTTTCATGGGGTCTTGAGGCTACACCAGGATCCTTCATTATAACTCACCTAAGTAGCCCTGGAAACATCACCTGAGTTTAATAGAATACGGGCTAACCAGGGGTTCTGATTGGTGAATGCAAATTAAGCAGAGGTTCTGACTGGAGCAATGCAGACTACACAGGGATTCTGATTGGTGCAATACTGTCCAACCAAGAATTCTAATTGGTAGAATGCTGAGCAAACAGGTCTCCTATTAATAAATGTCAGCTGATTGAAATTTCAGAGAACTACAGGACTCTTCAAGGCCACCAGCTACTCCGTGAGCGAAAAATGAGGCTTTCTGCTCCTGCAAAGATTTAAAGCCTCCCGAAAACCCTACACAGGGTTGCTATGCATCGGAACCGACTCGGCAGCGCTTAACAACAACTGTTGCTATATGGAGCACTGTTAGCGCTGCAGGATAAGCACTGGACTGCTAGCCACAAGGTCGGCAATTCAACTCAACCAGCTGCTCCCGGGTAGGAAGATGAGACTTTCTGCGCCCCTAGGCACTGTGGGTTAATGTGCCAGACTGCAAAGCCGTTTGAACTTCAAGGTCGGCGGTTCAAGCTCACCAGCTGCTCCTCAGAAACCCTATACAGGGTCGCTATGGGTCGGAATCGACTGGACGGCACTTAACAACAACAAAGGCTTAGAGCCTCAGAAATCCTATACAGGATCACGATGAGTTGGAATCTACTCCGAGGCAAGTAACAGCAACTGCTTTTATAAAGTGGATTTTTCAGCAAGTAGCCAGGAAGTTCTTTCTGGATTTTACAGTTAAAATGAGTCACCAAAATGTAAAAACCCCAGCGGTCCCCTCCCACCACACCTTGAGACTTCCCCAGGTGAGCTCCTCCCTGACTGGCCTCCAATAGGCAGCTCCTG